GATAATTTATTCAATTATAAAAAGAACAGGATTCGGAGACAATTTAATTCATAAACATAATGATTCAATTGGGTTCCATCTACCCTTAACTACATAAAAGACTACTCTAGCATACTGAATTGAAAAGAAATAATAAGGAAAAGAGAACCCCAAGCCTCCATTGGTGTGATGTTGACTTGGTTCCTTAGTGTAGCGCTCCGCAACAGGATTCCTCCTTCAGTCTTGGATTTGTGTATTGGTTTCTGAATTGGTGTATTGGTCTTGACCCCAAGCTCTTTATTTATAGCTTTTTGGGGTTGTATTCTTCATTAAATCTCCAATGGATCCTTATCAGATTTGTGGTTGATTTCATCTTTGTTTCCTTTTTGCATTTGATATCTTGGAGATTGGTTGACGATTTTGAGCTTTAAATCTTGTTGTGATCTTCTATCACATCTTCTTATTGGAGTTATATCTTATCTCAATCAAGGTTGGTCTGTTTCTTCTTTGTATCCTATAGAATCCGCTGCACATCTTGATCAAATCTTTTCCAGGAGTTGCTTTGACCACGTATGGACATTTTAGCGTGTTGTTTGCGCGCTAAAACGTGCTTGATCAATATTGTTGTCTGCCTCTGGGCATTTTGGCGCTCTATTGGGCGCCAAAATGCCCTCTTCGAAGGGAAATTTGTTGCTGTCAGGGCGTTTTAGCGCTCTGTTGGGCGCTAAAACGCTATCCTCCAATGGGTTTCTTCTATTTTGGTTCTTTAGGGTGTTTTAGTGCTCTGTTGGGGCGCTAAAACGCTCTCCTTCAGCTTGCAAACACTTGTAATCTTGCTTCTTTGAGGCTTCCAATCATCTTGTTGCGTTCCTTTGGCTCTATAAAGCTTTAATTGATGTCAAAATACCTTGAAATAAGAATTATTACAAGATGTTAGCAAGATATTCAATTATTGTGACTTTACGGTATAAAACCCTAATTTCCATGCAATTCATGATATATTTCAAGTATAATTAAGCCTAAAACCATGGTAAACCAAGGGTTTATCAACCATACAGGTGGGACGTACTTAAGAGGCGCACGCAGCGCAAACACGTTTCACAGGTTGTGTGGAACGAGGAGAAGTGTCGCCAGTACAAGACACGACGCGGTGTTATCAAGGGGGGTCCAGCTCCTGATGATATTCCTGATGTCGTGGCAGACTACCTGCAGCAGGCTGGCTTCTTGCATGTCGCCCGCATGCGGCATATTCAGGTACGCATATAAGAAAGTACCGGTAATGTGACTTTTAATTTAATAATAAATGTTATAAACTAAGTGTATGCTTAAGCAAGTTTATTTTGATAATAAATGTATGCATTTATTTTAGATTGACACTGCGCTGATCCGTGCTCTGGTGGAGAGGTGGAGACCAGAGACACACACGTTCCACATGACGCAGGGCGAGATGACCATTACGTTGCAGGATGTTGCGGCTATATTGGGATTGCCGACTGATGGGAAAGTGGTTACGGGTGCTACATCCATGGACTGGCGAGTCCTGTGCGGAGAGGTGCTTGGTCACGCCCCGCTCATTTCAGAGCAGCCGTACGGGGATGTGAAGCTCGCATATTTAGACAGACATTATGCGCATTGGGCTGCCGTTGCTGCGGATCCACAGCAGGTTATATATTTTACTAAGGCACACATTGCGCGTATGTTGGGATCATGGCTTCTATGCGACAAATCTGGAGGTAGCGTCGTCGGATGTCGCTACATTGCGTTGCTTGCAGGAGGTTTCGATGAAATTGGACAATACAGTTGGGGATCTGCTGTTCTCGCACATTTGTTTAGACAATTATGCGAGCTTACTGACCCCTGCAGATCAGACATGGGTGGATGCCATATACTGCTCCAGATATGGGCGTGGACCAGATTTCCTCCTATTGTTCCTCCTCTTCCTCAGCCTACCCACCCAGAGTGGCACTTCGGGCACCGGTATGTGTCATTTGTACTTGAATTATACAGTAATTTATGTGTAACAAATCAATGTAATTTATTTGTAACAAATTATTAATAATCTTGCATATTTTCATTTTGCCCATAACAGGTTTAATGGTTTAGCCCGCTTTAAACCATAGCATCAGCTTCTATATCAGGGGACTCTAGACACGTTGACTAGGGACGAGGTATGTTATATTTTTTTGGACAAATTATGATTATTATTTTCACTTGCTGCCAAATTATTACGTTTTGGAAATTCATCATATTTTTTGTAGGTTGTTTGGCAGCCGTACGGAGACTATTATTTCTTGGACATACCTGCAGATGAGCGATATCTTTGGTTGGCTAGGACACCGATCATATGTTTTCATCATGTTGAGCAGTGCCAACCAGATAGATGCTTGAGACAGTTTGGTTTAGACCAGCCGATCCCTTTGAGGCCTAGAAAGCTCAAAGGGGTTCATGATCACACGCTTCGAGGTAAATTGCCTGATAACTGGCAAGTTAAGCTCAAGCCATTTATACATAGATGGCAGATAAGGGCTCAACACATAGGACAGTTGCCTCCCCCATTGGCAGGGATGATGTCACCAAACCACGAGTATATGGATTGGTATCGGCTACGAGGCGAGCGTTATGTATCCAGGAGGGCAGCGAAGATTGGACGTAGTGTATGTTTTCTACAGTCTCTTACTTGCTTCATTTTTTCATTTATTGACACTGTCTTATTAAATTTTAGCCTTTACTTGCACTTATTTTTTTGTATTGTAGATTGATGGTTTGGAGATGCTATACTTCGCGGCTACTCCTGAGCATTTTGAGAGCTTCGGTTTAGAATGGGTTCATGAGGAGATTGGGAGCTTAATTTTTGTATTCAGGGAGTCGTCCAGGGTGGAGGAGCCAGGATCACAGGCTCCCCCGACCCAGACACAGGATGAGCCTCAGATATCGCTTGACATTCCTACACATAGACAGGAGGGACGAGGGTTAGGACACCCTCGGGAGGCAGTGGCACCACTTCTGGAGCCTATACATGCCCCTAGGCCACGCATAGATATGTCTGGATACTTCAGGCCCCCCATGATGGGGCAGACATTTGATTCTCAGCCCATTTATTATGGTCCTCTTCAGCATCAGGATGTGCCACCCATGGACTCCCAGAGTCAGCCAGTGTATCAGGCTAGTCCAGTCCACAGCGCACCTGGTTACGTGCCAACCACACAGGCTGAGACTAGCAGTCAGGATCGTGGAACCAATGCACTCTATGAAAAGAATATAAAGGTTCAACGATTTCGATGATAACAAACATGGAAAGAAAGCTTCAAGGTGCAACCATCAAAAAGAAGTCTAAACAAGATCAAGACTCAAGCTTCAAGAGAAGTCTCTAAGTCCAAACTCAGAGTAATATACTATAGGACTTAGGATTATTTGTAAATTGATTATTTTCAAGAACGAAGCTCAAAGTATTTTTTAAATACATGCATTAAATCATCGTTTGACATTCAAATACATTCTTAACATGAAAACATACTTTTCAATGTTCATAAAATGTTTAAACTATATTTGAAAATGATGTGAATCAAGAGAAAACCATTTTAGGGCGAAAACCAGCCTTTCAACAGGTTGGTAATCGATTACCAAACAATGGTAATCGATTACCCTTCATGGTAATTGATTACCCACTCAATGGTAATCGATTACCTACTGTACAGAGACAAAAATAACGGCTATAAAATGGCTAGTTTGCGAAAATGACTAGGAAAAAGCCCATGGGGCCCCTCTATGAATAGAGAATATTGTTCCCATTGATGGGACACACTTATTGATCATCATTACTCATTAATTCTCATCCTATTTGCATTATTCTTGTCTTCTTGATCATAAATTCTATTTGAGCTTTATTCTTGTGAGAGTGTCATATACCATTGTTCTTCAACTTGTGTTATTTGTACTTTGAGAGTACTTAGCCATTATTAAACACCTTCCTTGATTACTTGAGTAGCTAGGAGAGTGAACCCTACACACTTGAAAGGTCACCAAATTCTTAAGAAAATTTGGAGTGAAAAATGTAAGGCATCAAGAGCCCGAAGTCTTGAAAAGTTGTAGTGGTTTGTCAAGCACCCTCAAGCTTGATAGTTAGTGAAAAGAATTGATCGAGCGGCTTCAGTCTGGACGTAGGTCACGGTGGTGGTGACCGAACCAGTATACATCTAGTTTGCAATTTCTCTAACCTTAATCTCTTTATTTAAGTATTAAAATTGCATCTTAGATTGTCTTTATATATTCACTTGCTTACTTTGTTGATCACTACACTTGCTTTTACAATTAGACATTTCCTTATTAAATCACTTTATTGAAGAAATAGTCTTTAACACATCAAAGGAGGTACTTTGCGAAAAGATTTTGTAAAACTCAATTCACCCCCCCTCTTGAGTATTAAGCCACCTGTTCAACAAGGATTACCAGCCATGGTCACATGGAGATGTTGAAGACCTGATGGAGAATATGTATTGGGACCCAAATTTGACACCAGATTGGGAACCATTTCAGCCTACAGATGCCACTCTACCTGCTTACCATGCATCTACGTCATCTCCTATACAGCCCATGACAGCACCTGGTCCAGGACCAGAACAGGAGGCAGCATCACAGCATGAGCCAGAGTCAGCACCAGAGGCAGTTCCAGATTTCGTTCCAGGCCCAGCCGATCCCAACATTGGGCCACATGTAGCTCCTAGACGCAGATTTTTGCCTCCTCGTCAGGCACGGGACAGGCAATTGCCTTTACCATCGTAGTTTGTTATGTACTAGGACACCGCATTTTTTGGCAGTGATATATGTTTGACACTTTTATTCATGTATATTTCATGGACTGTATGCTTATCACAGATTGTTATTCCTTTTTCATCGTTGTTTATCTTGCATGTAATTTATTTTTCATCATTACTAGATTAATGAAACATAGTACTAGGATAATGCAACATAATAAAGCCATGTAAAAGGTGACTAGCACTCAGGATTACAAACGTTTATGTCCATCACTGATTAGGTAAATGATTAGGACAAGAGCGGCGATTATGCCCAGGTAGCTTACAAAGACCACACTTAATTCGACTTTGACTGGCTTCAACTTCATCCATCTCGTTGTATATCCTAGTTGACTTTGGACGGCCTTTTGCACGCAACATAGATCGGTCGGGTATGATAACTGCACCTACCGAAGGTGGAATAACAACCTCATTACCAATTGGCTGCCACAAAAATGAGTATGCATGAACCAAATTCTCTGTCAAGAACACATCGTCCACATATCCAAACGTATTCCGCCGAACACTTAATGCCGCCGCATAGGGATGACTACATGGGTACTTGAAAGCCTTAAACTTTCCACATTGACAATATTTCTGTGGAAGATTGACAGAATATAACCTCTCATAACCCTCGTCCACTTCAAATACAGTTTCATCAACATTGTATGTACGCACATTGTGACCTGTTGCAAGGGACTCATTAAACTTCATGGCTTCAACTATATTTTTGCAATGACGATGTGAAGCATGAAGTTGTGCTGCTGCCGCTTGACCTCTTTCCACAAAATAATGAACTAGCTTGCTATATGTATACTTAACCAAACCAGTTATTGGCATGTTTCTTGCACCCTTCAAAACCCTGTTAACAGATTCAAACAAGTTTGTTGTCATATGTCCATATCTAAGTCCATCGACATCATATGCCCGCATCCACTTTTCCTTTGGAATCTGATCAATCCAATCTGCAATCTCAGGACTAATGTCACGAAATTTTGCGAAGGCTATATCAAAATCAACCTTAGAAGGAGTATAACCTGGAAAGATAAAAAGATTAAATACTTTTTTGCAATGAATAATAATGTCAAACAACATCATAAAAAAGAGACCAAAACATACCCAAATTCATAATCGTCTTCTTCAATTTTTCGTTCCGAAACTTTTGATTAAAATTACTTGCAATATGGCGAAGGCAAAACATATGTTGGGCATGTGGTGGCTGCCAACCACGATGACTTTCCACAGCAGATAATATGCTTCGATGCCGATCTGAAATGAGACATATGTTTTGCTTTTGCGTGACATGATGAAGAATGTTATCAAGGAAGTACTGCCATGCTTCCAAAGTCTCGCCTTCAACAATTGCAAATGATAATGGCAAACATTCAGCATTTCCATCCTGAGCTGTGGCAATCAATAATTTCCCTTTATAATTTCCATACAAATGAGTGCCATTGACTTGAATGACTGGTTTGCAAAAATTGAAAGCCTCACAACATTGTCTATAAGTCCAAAATATGCGATGAAACACTCGTTTATCACGTACCAGTCGGTGGGCAACAAAATAATCATCTGTTTAAATATTATAAACAGAACCTGGAGAAAAGCGAAGCATATATTCACACCACCTAGGAAAAAATGCATAAGACTCCTCCCAATCCCCATACATGATCGCCATTGCTTTTTGTTTTGCATACCATGCCTTTCTATAAGAAACTTTGAAACTATAGCATGGGTGATCCTCACCTGAACAAGTGAAATTGAGACTGATGGCTCCTCTCGTATCATTCCTAACAATCATATTGTAGTTTGACATTAAACCTTAAACCCTAACTATAAATTCAATTTCCTTGACAAAATAATATAATAACATACCTAGTACGAGTAAAGCAATCACATGGGCATCAAGCTGTCTATGACCCTGAGAAATATGATCATTCAAGCAATCGTGGTCTCCACCCCATTTAGTAACCTTCCATTTTTCACCGTATGTTGGTTTTATTACCCTAACCCTCCATGGGCAACCTTGTTCATACTTGCAACATTTCATACTTAATTTGGTAGGCGTGCCCTCAAGGACGATCGTTTCTTGATGCTCTTTCATTAGGTTTCTCTTAATTGCCATCTGTGCCTCCTTTTTTGATTCAAATTCTTGCTTAACATACAACTTGTTACCTAATATCCACGGACCATTAATTGAACCTGAGCCCGAGCCAGAACTTGAACCGTCGTGACTTAAATCTTGCTCCCTCGGATGATCCTAATTAATGTATGTGGAATGTGGAATGTCTTTCCAAAATGGAACAACATCGTCACCTGCAAGTACAAAATTAAACATTAAAACCCAAAAAGCTGCAAATATAAATGTATATTTTCAGCCATTTACTTACTTACTGATGGGACGTAAATTCGTTCCCATCTAGGCCCATTTTGATGGCAAAATATCGCACGTTCCCTCATCTGATGCACAACTTCAGCATGAAAATCACTTGTTTTACACATTTGTGACAAAAACACAGTGGAGGAACGTATGGTAACGTATTTCTTTAAAATACATTAAAAAGGGAACAGACTGAGACGCATTTAATGCACATGCTCCACTCATTTAATGCCTTTGTACACTTTGCAGGAAACGTGGATATAAAGTCTTCTAAAGCAGAGGCGGTGCACCACTCAAGCACCAGGAAACGTGAAGAGCAGAGAATCAAGAGTTCTCATTGGCCAAAGAAGAAAGCAAGGCATGAAGGGACTGCAGAAAACGACTAATCATCAACAAATCCTGTCCCATCCAACAATTTGCACTCTATTGCCATCGCCCCGTCCCTTCACTCAAGCACCCAGCTCCAAAGGAATTACAAGACTGCCACTCATCTTCTCCCTATAAATAGGACGTCCCACACACAAAAACATCATCGAATCCTGGAGGAATTGAAGTCCTAAGGGAAGAGATCACCTAGTAGTATTAGTAGCTTAGTTTTATTTAAGTTGTAACTGTAATTAAGTGACAACCCTCCTTCTTTTCTCTGTATCAATCCCTAAGACTCCTCACGAGCATCAAACCATCCTTCTCCATTTTCTGTTTCTGTGTAAACTGTCTTTTATATTAATATAAGTGTTTTTCTCTTCATTCCATTCGTTATTTCTAAACTGAATCTCGGGTCTATGGGATTTCAGTTCAGAATAATTTTGTTTAAAATATCAGCTATGAGCTTAACTATCTGTGGAACGAGTAAACTGCAAAACTCTTAAAGAACTATTTTCAAAACTCTTGACTGAAGCTTTTTGTATTTCTTTGGCTAAGAAAGCTATATTCATTGTGTATCAATGGAAATTGAACACATACTGAGAAAGGGACTTCCATAAGGAAGGGATTTCAGACAGGTTAGCCATTGGGGGAAGGTAGTGTTATGGCAAAAACACTATTGGCCATCTTAGGAATAAGGGGCCACTTCGTCCATTTTAAGGTTCTGTACTGAGTACCTGTTAGAGTCAAGGGAGCCGTAGGAATATGGAAACTTGTGAGCCATCTAGTCCATGAGCTGAGGAATCAGAGTTGGCAGATAAGAAACTGGGACAAAGCCAAAAAGTGCTAGGTCATGAGCAGAGAAAATATCTATTTAAGAGTGGAGCAGTGAATTCATTCCTTTTGTTAAACTGTTTTAAAACCATCACCCTGTTGTCTCTTGATTATAGTTATTTCTGTTTAGTAGTTTTACTTTATTTAATCTTATATCTATCAAACTCCAATGATTATTATCTCACCTTCTTCTAAACAGGAAGTACCACATACATAACGCAGCGAGTAATTGTTTGCCATCAAATTGAACCTACTGTTCCTGAGGAACGTTGTCAAGACAGTAGGGAACGTTTGACCAGACAGTTCATTTACTAACTTTTCTTCTCATTTTCATTCTTTATAAAATAGTGTAAGACAATATTCAGAGTTCTATCCTCGTGGGAATGATAATCTGGGCATTAATACACCCAATATTACTTGATGCGTGCACTTGCGCACTTGGTTTGGAAGTGGAGGAACGAATCTGTGTTCTATAAGAACAGAGGAACGTCCCTATCAGAACTTATATTTTTCCACCATCAGCAAACCACCCAACACTTACCTTCCAAAATTGGCGATAACTGAGTGGACGCGACATTATCATGTTCCTGGACAAGAGACTCACCCACAACATTATATTCTAGGATTTGAGTGTCAGGAATACCACATTCATCATCGTTGTCTGAAGCGCTAGCATCCTCAGCAAGAAGTTGATCTTCCATTGCAATATTTTCATCATCGTCATCCTCACCATCATCTTCCACAACCCAGGTAGGATCATTTTCTCCTTCCTCAGAAAGATTACCAACTGGAGCAACAGATGATGATGCATTATGTGCAAAATTTAAATCAACTGACCTCACGGGTATAACAACATCCTCTGTTTCTGCAATATCCACGTATAACTCTAAAAAATCTTTCCTTGACTGGTTGAAAAACTCTCCGATTACCATTTCTATGTCTTCATCGTCAACAACTTGCATACTAATGTATTGTGATTCACACCATATTCTTGTAGTGACCATATTGATAGATTGTTTACCTTCAAGCGCTAACTTTTGACGAATTTTTTGATGTACTTCGCTAATTGTTGAGTTCCGCATAATACGTGTTGGCATTTTCTCTCCTTCATAAATGACACCACGTCGACCTTTCATTTTCCTACCATTATAATATAAAACAACACGAACAAAATCAGAATGTGAACTCATTCTTAACTATATTAATAAAGAAAAACACAAAACAGAGTATGCATAAGCAAGTGAGACTGTATCGAAGACTAAGAAGTTAAGATGAAGAAGAGTTGTGATGAATGTGGAGATGACAGGTGTTTATATAGGAAAAATAGGTGTGATTCACACCCAAAGGGGCTGGAAAGGGGGCTGAGTCATGCCCAAAATGGGCTAGAATTTCCCTTGATTCATGCCTGCATGGGGCGTGATTAGTCACGCCTATTTTGGGCGTGAATGAAGTGGAATTCATGCCTTGCATAGGCGTGAATTGTCCCGCCCATTTTGGGCGTGAATGACTGCAATAGATCTGTAGATAGTTTCCAAACTGCAACCTGTTCGTATTTAATTATTAAAAGTGTAATATTTTAGTTTTTTTGCCCCTTAAGTTGAGGTATATGTTTGTATACAAAATATAAACCAGTAAAGTCCAATAACTAAATAAATTTATTCCATTATTCGAGAGTTCTTTAGTCACTAATAAAATCAGCTATATAGCCCTTCAAGTTCCTCAGACTAGTTCTTTTGTTTTACCATAAACCCATCCACAAACATGAAGTTAAGAAAGAGGTAAAGTATTTTGCATTAGTACTCTTTAAACAATCTCATTACTGAAAATAAAATAAAATAACTGAAACTTTTTACACATAAATTAGTAGGACATTAAAACATTCAATTTTACATTTCTTTTCCACAGAAAAAGCCAACAAAATAAAATGGTGTGCCATGTGACCGCGGTTAATTACATCTCTTCAGGTTTGTGGACACTGAGAAAATATGGACAATAACCTATCAAAGGTTCTCCATATCCAAGGTACACATATATCTATACAAAACTTTCTTTCTTTCCCATATTTTCCCTTCCATTCTAAGGATCAAACTTCTATATGTAAAACCCACACTGAAAGGAGTTTATAATAATTTTAAATTTGGTTCTCAACATGAGCAAAAACCATGTGGTGTTTAAAAAATCCATGATTTTCTATTTACTATTATACATGCTGTAGTTGCAAAGGACGTGCCGCAAGAAAGCATGTAGAGTGAATCACAACCGAATCAAACATGTTCATCGTGACATGGCACCTCCTATGTGTATTTGTCAACTTCATTGTTTTCTCCCAAGCAATTCTTCAAGGAGAGCAATATGGCCTCTGAAATTAACATATGATATATAAGTTACGAAATGCCCAAAAACCAAAAGAAAATTCCATAACCAATTTAACTTCTAAACTTTATAAACTCTTATCCGCTAGCATATTCAAGTGCATCCAGATTAAAAGCTTCTAACTCAAATCTGTCTAGTATAGACGTTTACGCATTTGCAAAGTATTCTGTCTTAGAAACAAATATGTCCAGCCCAATGAACTGGTATGTTGATCTTGGATCTAGTACTCTCTCCAAGGTATCTATGGAAGAGATACCCTTGAGTCAAGCACATCACTGTGCACAATAGACTACTAACGGCGTTAGCCAAAGGGCTGTGTGTGTGCGCACAGTGATAGCATAACAGTAAGAGAGAGAGTAACATACCTTTAGGGTTTACCTTGTATTTATAGAGGTTACTTGTGGGCAGTGTGATATGGGCCTTTGGTGCCTATAATGAGGGCCCCATCCTGTTTGCTATGCTGTCGTATTAGGATTAGTATCCTTGATGGATACTATCTGTAAGTATAATTTATTCAGATCTTGGATTACCCATTATTGGGCTTCCCATCCAATGGGCCCCTTATACGGGTCCATAACAGTTGCCCCTTTTAGCCAGGCTACCTAGGTGTCCGGGTTGTGGGGTGAATTTCCTTGCATTTTGCTTCAGGTTTCCTTCTAGACTGAGGGCGTTTGAGTTTTTGTAAATTCTCTGCATGCATGTTCCTTGATCTGAGTGTTTTTCAACTGGGGTCCTCATTGCCCCTTATCTCGGTGGGTTGAGCATGAACCCTAGAAAACATTTCACGTATTCCTATACCGAGTTCGGGATGTGCTTGAGTAGTTGGGATCCAACTGGCGAGTTGCCCCCAAGCATCATACCTTACGCACACGTCTTGAGTTTGTCGCTTTCTTTTGGAATCGAGAGTGATTTTCCATAGTTAGTTGTATGATCGGGTTATGTATGAACCCGACAAGATACTCTGCATATTCAACTGGGTAACAAATATGCTTGAGTAGTTGGAATCAAACTGGAGAGTTTCCCCCAAACATCATTTGTATTATCTGATTGAGAGTATAATACATGTTAGTCTGACGTGCCAATTTATTAGCTGTACTCATTTCATTTTGACATGTGCTGCCTGCCGCGTGGGTTAGCGTGCTGCAGCCATTTTATGTCGTTTTCGCGTTTCGTGC